CTCCTAACGTGGGCCAGCCACCCCCCATAAGACCTTCCTCTGGTAGAAATAAAATCTAAATAATAAAAGTTTCTCTACTGGCTTTAATGTGAACATAAGCGGTGTATTGATTTGCGCTACTGTGGGGTCTTGTATTTTTTCCTGTATCTGTTGGGGTAGGGGGCTGTTTTTGCTTTCAGGGGGTGTGTGTGCCCTGCTGACACCATAGAAACAGCCCCCTACAGGAACAGACTTTTTTTTAGGCCTCTGTGGGGCTGTCAGCTGTCTGGGTTGATCACCGTGAATGTTTCTGCCCGCTCAGCAAGATGGAGGTGTTTTCACTGTGAAGATGTGTCTGGGAGCCACTGCATTTCTATGGAGTCCAGGCCATGAAGTGCAGCTTTTAGCTTCCAACAAGGCAATGTGATCGTCTAACCCCAACCCGCTCATCAGAGATCCACAGACAGTCCATATTTTTGCTCCCTCCCAGCTTCTGGTAGGAGCAAAAATGTTGCCTGTCTGAGGGTCTCCGAGGACTGGTTTGTGAAATACTGCCCCAAATGTCTCAGAAACAAGCCAGATTGAATCCCTGGAGCTGTGTGTGCTCCTAACAGTCTCCCTGATGTTCTGGACTTTTCTGTAAATGCCCCCAGCACCCACCCCACGGGCGTCGTTTCACCTCATCATTGACTGGGGGTGATCTATTAAGTACCCCGTGTTTAATAGAGAGGATCGGGCCCTCATGGGTTCAGTGGGACATTCTTGAGAGGCATTTTTGCGGGCTCTGAGTTGGGCTTGGCCTGTAGTGTGTGTGGGTCTGCTGCCATTTCTGTCTGCATGTGTTGCTTTTACTGGCTTCATTCTTTTCCATCAACGTGTCATATAGGTCACATTTCTGTTTGAAAGTGCACGTGTCTGGAGATTTCCCGTCCATTAGCCTCGTCCTGCTGTGGGTTGATGCCACTGTCCATGTGATCCGATCAAACGGGATCGACCAGGCCGGTTCTAGGCGATGACGAGGGGTTCGCGTTTCCTGATGCTAGTTTCTGGCACAGGTCAGCGATTCCCTGAGGGCCCCTTCTTTACTCACCATGACCCCTTTTAAACTTCTGCAGCCAAGTGAGGAAAGTGGTCACGCTTCAGTCTGTGCTACTGCTGTAATAATGCATAGTAAATTTAATCTGCCTGTGATTCTGTCCTGGGCTCCTCTTCATTTTAATTTCAATCTTGATAGTGGTGAGTTCTTTTTTAAAGGGGCTTACACACAGGCCTGCTGTCACATGCATATTTTTCAGGTAAAAACAGCTGCAGGATCCAGCTGTTTGTTCATTATAATGTCAGTTGTATGTTCAGAACGTTCAGTGATAACATTGCTGCCCCCATGGGCCCAAAACAGAAATGAGCTGCACTTCTGCCGCGGCCCGTTTCTGGAAAGCAACTCTGAACTGAGGTGGCGCTCTGCTGTTGGAAGGATACGCGGAGGGTGACAGGTTTGAAGTACCTGTCCCAGACCGCGAGTGTTACGCAAAAGCTAAGCTACATTTAAAATGAGCCGGAGCACGCAGCACGGCCTTAAGCAAACCGCCTCAAACACACCGTACTGCCGGCCGCTCTCTGTCCCCCTGTCTGGGGTGTCCCCCTCTTGTTTTGCGTCCTGAATGCAACACTGGGGGCCTTTTGACTTTGAAACCCTGGATCACGGGGTGGGGGCTAATGGACACGAGGAGGGCATGGTCTGAATGCAGAGCCCTTCATGGGACACCCCTGCCTTAATTCAGAGTTTCGGCAGGAAGGTGCTTCACAAGTTTGACACACCACTGCATAATTTTCACATCAACTTGTGTGCACCTGGCTGGGGGGGGGGGCTGAGCACTGCAGCAGGTTTGTGGTTTCCAAGACAACAGACAGGCAGCAGTAGTGGGGCCATCTCCTCATGGGGGGGGAGTGCTAGCCGTCTGGGGACATGTGGTAATGGGTGGGTTGGGGGAGGGACAGCTCTGCTCTAATTACTCTCTCTAACAGGCATGGGGGGAGAATCCTGCCCCCCTCCCAGGACAGGTGGTTTGAGAAGGGGGGGGGGTCCCATGTAGAGGAGCAGGTGCTCTCTCTGGGAGGCATATGGCCGTGTGATTGGGGAGGTGGGAAAAGATAGGCCAGGGGGGCCCTCGGAGGGATTTTATCCCAGGGAGGGCCTGTGGTTTCTGATATAGGAACAGGGGTCTCCCTGGGGGGAGGGAGGTGTTAAAGTAGGTTGGCAGGATTAGCAAACACATCCAGGCCCCTGCAATCATCTCATGCTTCCCCAAAGCTAATTCCTGTTTGTGCCTTTCGATTGATCTCATTCACTCACCAGCCATTCCAAAGGCCGCTGTGTCCGACTCAGAGGGCCGGGCTTAGGGTGGGTATGGGGCTTGGAGCTGAGGCTGGGTTTAGGGTGGGTATGAGGCTTGGAGCTGAGGCTGGGCATAGGGTGGGTATGAGGCCTGGAGCTGAGGCTGGGCTTAGGGTGGGTATGAGGCTTGGAGCTGAGGTTGGGCTTAGGGTGGATATGAGCCTTGGAGCTGAGGCTGGGCTTAGGGTGGGTATGAGGCTTGGAGCTGAGACTCGGCTTAGGGTGGGTATGAGGCTTGGACCTGAGGCTGGGCTTAGGGTAGGTATGATGCTTGGAGCTGATACTGAGCTTAGGGTGGGCATGGGGCTTGGTGTTAGGCTTTTCGTTAGATTCAGCTGTAGGCTCCTCCTTACAGATGCAGCACAACATATTTTCCCTCCATGCACTCAGCATGCTCATCAAAATCACATTGGTTTTATTTTCTCCATCCGTGTCAAGAGACGCAGCAGCACAAGTCAGTGATTTGCTCTTCCTCAGTGGGGACCTGCACCCAGTGGCAGGGAGGGGAGGGGTGGGAGGAATTAATGGAGGCGCTTTAGAACTTTTTAAAAATGTGCCCCCGTGTTGTGTGTGCGAGTACATTACGGCACACATGAATAATACATGGTTAAGACGCTTAATGGATGTGCAGGGACTCGTCTAAAATAAAAAGCAAAATCCATTTGGTCTCCCCGAAGTAAACGTAATGCATTGTCCTTGGGCTAATTTTCAGCCAGGGGCTCTGGGTGTGCACTGCAGAGGTGGGGGGTGGCCAAGGAACAAAGCCAGGGGCCGTCTGCAAACAGCTGCCTCTCCGGGGCCGGCGCAAAATGAAGGCAGATGAATCAATTTGGCCTGTGGCCCTCAAGTGCTCTTCTGGAGGCCCCGGCCGGCGCGGCAGATAATGAGCCGATAGATTGAGCCGGCGCGACGCGGCCCGGTGACGGTGTACCTCCGAGCCGCCAGGCAGACGTCTCCCCCGGCGACGGTGGCCCGTCTGCCTGGGTTAATGGGGGTGAGGGTCCTTTGCGCAGGACACTTTTCAGAACAAATTAGAGGAAGGATCCGTCTCCTTGACGCCCCCCCCCCCCCCCCCCCCCCCCCCCCCCTCTGCAGAGCCGGGCCCTTTCCATGGCGAGGACGCGGTGCAACCAGCCTGAGCGGCCACCTGCACTAATGAGGCCTGACATAGGGATGCTTCCTGAGCAGAACCTCGAGGGCTGCGGCGGCTGGGGGGGGGGTCATGGTGGGGTGTGAACGCGAAGCCCTAACGGGTCATCATGGTGCCCCTGTCAGCATGAAAGCCAGGGGAGCAAAAGACCTTTAAAACAAGACATCCCCCTCCTGCCCCCGGCCCTCTGCCCCCGGCCCTCTGCCCCCATGCTCTCCATTTTATCCAAGCGGGCGTATCCCAAGTGATCCATCCGACTGGAATATCCATATCCGTCACCAGTGTGGGTCATGCCATCTGTGCCGATGAGAAGGACCCGCATTCTGAGGGAGCTCAAGGCCCTTAGGAGATCATTCCCCAGCCAGTGGCCTGGCCTTGCAGCCCAACCACCAGGTGTCGCTCTTTCCAACATGTTATTCCTGGGAAATAGCCGACATACCACACCCTAGCATGTTGACAGTGACCCCACGGCACGGACGTCTCCAGCCCTGAGATTCTTGCTCTGGTCGTAGTTCGTTTTAACACAGGCCTGAAAGCAGCAGACTGTAGAGTAAACACTTGTAAAGAGGATGTTATTTAATGCTGCTGTTAATTGGACCTTTACTTTTGATCGATAATCAGTCCTGATTAGTTACTCCAGCTAAGTATGGAGGACTGAAAGGTTTCTCCTGGCTATCAGCCTTAATTATCCTGAGTCAGTGTCCTGTAAACAGAGCTACGGGTGACCTGCAGCTCGTCAGCCAGCCAGCAAATGGCGCCTCACGACCGGGGTGTCAGAAGCGAGTCTCAGCAGTTCCTTTCAGCGGCGATTAGCATGAGCGAGGGCCTCCGTTAATTCTGCATGCTGCATCCGCACCGTCACCCTTAATGACCGGCGGCCGCAGAACTCGCCGTTTCCTTTGTGGTCCTTGTGCTGTTTCTCGGCGATGTGATGGCATTACGAAATGTCAGAGCTAATTTATTTGTCCAATCACCAGGACCTGCCTGGTGTTCGTTAGCATAATTAAGGGGAATCGTGTCCATTTGGCTCGCCGCTGCTTGGCAGAGGGGGCGAGCAGGCGGACGCCCCCCACCAGGTGGCCTCATGCCGGACCTGTCACATCGCCGGATGACCCTTTTAATTTTACCCCGCCGGGGGCCGTAATTGAAATTTACCGGGAAAGGTTAATCGCGGAGGCGATCTGGCTGATTTACGGCAGGGATGCCGGTGACGTGGCTCGTCCCATGCCAGGCTCATCGCATGCCGGGCCCGTCCGCCCCGCTGCAGCTGCCCAGCTCTGTCACGCCGCTGATTAATGCACAGCCGCCAAACGCGAAATGTGAATGTCAGAGGTCACGACCTTCAGCCACTTCTGGGCTTCCCATGCTGGGCTTTCAGAGTCGACACCCAGGAAGATTACAGGGGGGTGATAGAGAAGTGGGGCTGGAGCTTTTGAACGAGGTGTTTACGACCCCCCCGCCCTTATTTTTTCCCCGCAGATGAAGGTGTTGGGGGTCTGCCCAGGGAGGAACAGCGGGAGAGAGGCCCTGCAGGAGTGGAACGGGCCCCAGCAGAGCGACTCCAGAGAGCCCCTCAGCGAGGTGAGCACCCACCACTGCTCAAAAACCCACACCACACTAATCACATGAGTGCCCCCCCCCCACCCCTGAGGAGAATTTACACTGTTCTTCTGTGCTGGCTGTCCTGTCTTGGGACAGAGGTGAGGAGGGGACATGGGACAACTGCCATCAGGGTTAGCCCTAGATCCAGGGAGCAGAAGCGCCTAATGAAATACAGCTGTCCGTCTCTCTGCGGTCAAGTGTCGAGGTCACTCTATACTGCCCAGGCCACCTGACCTTGGGACCTTCCCGATTAACCCCCCCCCCATCTCATCCATATGCTAATTGGCTCAGAAATTAGAAATATGAGAAGTTTTTCTGGAGATCCCGGTGGGGGGGGGGGTGTGTTAGCCTTTATTGACCTAACAGTAGATGGGGGTTGAGGGGCATTGGCATACGGCCCCAGAATTGGGAGTGCTGAGCACTAAACCTTCCATGAGTCAGTCTGCCAGGGGCCGCCCACGCAATCGGCAGTCTGATTGGACGGCTAATTCGCTGCCGCGCGCTGGCTTGCGAATAGGAGGAGGGCAGGGCCTCTCTTTACACTAACCTGTTAAAGATGGTGTTTGGGAATTCTGTAGGAAATATGGTGGGAGTGTCTGCCTGTGGGAGGGTGAGGGGCGGCATTTGGCAGATTAAAAGGGACGTTATGGTTAAAATGATGTTTCCTGAAAATAATGCGTCGTAATAATGCGTGTTGGATATGGGGAGGTACTCTGGTCATCAGCTAGGTGACGTCCATCTGTCTGTCCCCTAGCCACCCCCAGCCAAAAAAAAAGCCAGATCGCCTCCTTGCTGGTTACATTTCAGAAAGCCTGATTTCGACTGTCAGCAGATTTCCTTCGAATTATTTGTACGGCGGAGATAGTTTTGGTAATTTACATAAAATTACTGCGAGTGGCCCAGCTGTTGTATGTGACAAACCCCCCCACCCTCCCCGCCGTGTCATCGGAGTCGGCTTTAACCCTCAAGCGATGATGGAGCTAAAAGGGATTTGTGTGGGACTGCAGGGGAGGAGGGAGATAGCTTACAAGCCTCTCCAGCGTTTTTAACAGCGAAAACAGGGATTAGTTGAAGCAGCTGCGCATCAATTAACATCGCAGGAAATGCGGCCTTCAGATGGAGCCTGCAATCGATGGTTTGATGAGGGGGAGTGCCCAGGGCAGGAACGGGGCGGGTGCGAGGTGGGGAGGGATTCAAAGCACTCTGATATGAAAGAGCCCATGGGCCCCATTTGGGCCCCAGGGACATGCTCCACTGCACTCTGATTGGCCCTTTGAACCCCCCGGGAAAGTGGGTGAGTCGTGCCCCGCCCCTCCTGTCACTGCCAGGGGAGCAGGGCGTGGAAGCGGGAGAAGATTAGACCCTGGGTGAGGAAACATTTCTATTCTCCAGGGCTGTTTAGTTAACCCTGAATAGCTGGTCGACCCCCCCCCCCCCCCCAATTCTCTTTGTGGGACAGCTCCCTAAATCCTTTCTGAACTCCTGGGTGCCTCCCAGGCCCATAGAGACGCCTGCATACAGGCCTTTAGAGGAAGCGTTTAGCTGAGTCCTGACCCTGCGGCTTAGGGGCTCATCTAATGGCTCCTCCTCCTTCAGCCGAACAGAATCACACGAATTGTCCTTTATTGTTATTTAAATAAGTCTCGTTCGTGGACAAACTCCTGCTCGAGTCATTAAGGATGATTCCGGGCTTCCCAGTCCGAGGTCAAACACGGTGCTCTCGCGTTGCCCCGCCCCCGTTCCCCCGCCCAAC